TGCTGGGGATGCAGCCCAGGGCACGGTTGGCTTCTGGGCTGCCAGCGCCCATGGCCGGCTCATGGCCAGCTTTTCACCCCCCGGTACCCCCAGGCCCCTCTGGGCAGGACTGCTCTCCATCCCTTCACCCCCAGCCTGTGTGGGTACCGGGGGTTGCCCCCACCCAGGGGCAGGACCTTGACCTTGGCCTTGTTGAACCCCACGAGGTTCACACACCCCCACCTCCCCAGCTTGTCCCACTCCCTCTGGATGCCACCCCGTCCTTCTGGCGTGTCAACCGCACCCCCCAGCTCGGGGTCATCTGCAAACTGGGCTGAGGGTGCGCTCGACCTCGCTGTCTATGTCACTGATGAAGATATTAATCAGCATCGGTCCCAGTACGGACCCGTTTTACAAACTGCTTCCAGAAAGGATTTAGATAAAACAACCTTGAGGGTATGGGTAAACTGAGCAGAAACTTTCTATAGAATCAATGTCTGCATCAGCCATTGTAATAATAGCTGACACTCCAAGCACAAACACTGCTTTAGAATCACAAGAGACGCTACGGAGCCAGCATAGACACCGGCCCTTCACAGTCAAACCAAAAAAGTTTACGGAGTTTTTTTAAACTAAATATAGAAACCAGAGGAAAGAGAGGGCAGCTTCCCCAGAGGGAGAAACCAGCAGTCAGAGAACGTACCTTTTTGGCAGAGTCGTCCAAAGAATTTTTCACAGCTGAACCGTCCCATTTGTCAATTTTTACTGGTTTGTCGTCAATCTTCCACTGCAACGGAACCCAAAGGGCGTTAAGGGAGTTTGGCACGGATTAGCCTTCCATTTGAATACGCTTGTTCCTGTCGTGAGCAGAAAGACAGGAGGCAAGCTGGAAAACACCCACCTGTCTGGGAAAACCTAACCAGAGGTGGGGGGAATCTGGGGCCCGTCACACAGCTGTACCGCACCAAAAATCGCCTCAGCCCCAACGCACCCGTTACCCTCATGGGCTGAAGCTTATACAACTTGTCCTGGGTGCTGGAGACATTTGGTGAAGCGACTTTTTACATCAGTTTTACCCTCATGTTCATTCTGCGGTTGCTTCTCCCACTGCCATCCACAGAAAGCGTCAGTTTTGATTTAATTCTTGCCTTGGATGGTACTCACACTTTTCGGCCAAGATGTTACAAAGGGGCTCTTTGGGGGTTGATAAGAGGAGGAGAATTTCAAGGCACCCTTAACAATCCGGGTACAAGGGGAGAACACAAAGGCACGAACAAGAAATGAAGTTTCAGTCAGACCATCCTTCGGAACAAAACCAAGAGACTCTGTCACTCTGCTAAATTCAGATTTTCCTCATAACCTGTTCCTTCATCAACAACAAATCTCCCCTTTTCAAAGGGGTTCATTTTCCTCTGAAAGATACTCTTTTTTTGGTGACACTATTCCTTCTAGCCACAGTTTGAGCCCTGCGTATTTTACGTCGTCAATTATTTCAAAGAGCTGAATGACTTGAGCTTAAATTTCAGCTGCAATTAGAATAGAATCACAGAATCGTTGAGGTTGGAAAAGGCCTTTAAGCTCCCCCAGCCCAACCGTTCCCCTACCCCTGCCATCCCACCCCCAAACCCTGGCCCTCA